CTAAACTGCAAATGAGGCTGAGAATGAGATGCAGATATCTTGCCACTAACTGCATAGTCTACATTGTTGCCCTGCCCATCATCACCATTATGCTACAAATTTTGCCAACTCCCACCAGCACCACAATCCAATTCCAAAATAATATTAATGTTGTCTACTTTTAAGTACAGTATTTATAAAATATCTTAATAATTTAGAGTCTAAACGTAAAATTTTTAAATTTAATGTTTTCATTCAAACCACAATATCAATAACTTAAATTAATTTAAACCTGCTTTATAGTTTAAACATAAAACTTCTAAATTAAATGTCTTTGTTTAAACTTCAAAACATACAAAACAAAGAGAGTATTATATATGACATGGTCTACCCTACATAAATTACACAATTATTAATCATTAATAAAAGAGTGAGTCTTAAATATTGAGATTTTACCCTCCATCAATAGTTATAAAAAGTACAAGCGACATTCAGTTTTCTACAAAACAAAATAACAAAAGCAAATAAAACTTAATAGAATTAATAGTCCTGTAATTAGCCCTATAAGTTGGTATTTTTCAAGTTTTGGCCCTAGACAGTTACTCTTTGACTATTAAAACCCCTAAACTAACCAAAAGTTAAGATTTAAGGCCTAAAGTTATTATTATTATTTTTTTAGAATGATATAGTTAGAGGATTGGAGGAATGTATTTTGAAGGTGATGAAGATGCATACCTGAAATCAAAACCACAAGGGGTGTGTGGTGTTGGACAAGCATTGAGGGAGAAAAGGTTGCTCAGCTCAACTTTACACATCCTTGACAAACAGGGGACTGGCCTGAACGATGACGAAAGGTCGGCCCGGAAAACCGGTCGCTGGTTAATCCTTGCATTCTCCCTACACCTTTCACCGCACCGATATCTACAATTCATCCACGTTAAGTCGCTGCCAGTATCCACCACCAGGGTGAACTTCTGCGACGGTGTCCCCACATTAAACGACGCAAAGTACTGCCCCAACCCAAAATCGCTGGCGGAGTAAATCTGCATTCCAATACCAGCATTGTCACCCCTCACCGTCCCCCTGTTCTCCGGTGGAGTTTGGGTTAATCGCCGCTTATGGACAATCATGTTCTGGCGAATCATGTCATTGTGATGAAGCTCCTTGACACGTTCGAGCTGGGTTTTAAGCCTTGAGTTGAGCTGTGGATGGGCATGCCTGTGTATTAATTCCAACTTGAGGGAACTCTCATCCTCTTCCGCTGAATTCAGGCATTGGGAAAGAAACAGAAGCACGAAAACGGAGAGGAAGAAAACCAAACCAAGCCTCCCCTGACCCTCCATAGCTCTGTTTTCAAGAACTATAATGGGAATAGGGATAGAACAAAAGGGGTAGTTGGGAAGGACTGAATTAGGGAGATTCAGCTGGTTTAGCAGTTGAGAGAAAGCTGAAAGTCGTAACAAAATGGGAGAGAAAGAAAGACATTGCAAGGCATAAATAGAAGGCGAATTTAATTCACTATTTATGAAAACAGAACATCGCACTGTTGTCTGATTTCATGCTTGCGCTCTTCCTCCAAAACATAAAATACTATAAAAAAAAGTATTGGATGGGGACCGCCATATGAGTACTTTCCCCATTTAATGGTTCTATTTTATAATTCAAACTAAGAAATAGGATTCTTATTAACATATACTAATGCACTGTTTTTGTTTGTTATTTATTGCAAAGTGTTTGCAGGGTTGTTTTTTTTTTTTTTTTTTTTTGAATATTTTAGTCATGAGGTCAATTCGAAACATTGTCTTGGAAGAAGATATGAACTTTACAAAAATGACTAGAGCTATTTGACCCACAAAGTCAGATTTCGCAAGATTGTTTGTTTTTCGATTGTGAAACATGCTAACTATATAATATTATTTATATTATGATCATGTCATATACAGATTATGCTTGTGATGTGTGTTAACTTAACAAAAGGATATATATAAAGCCAGGATTAGGTTAGAAAAAGGAGTTGTGTGCCGAATTTACAGAGAGATTTCTCTGTAAATGATCTGGTGACTGGTGACTGGCGACTGGTTACCGGGGCAGCATCCAACACAGATGGAGGGTAGGACCGTTTACCTTATTTAATCCCCCAACAACAAATCCCAGCTAAACGCCTGCACATTACATCACCTTCCTTTCTTCTTCCTTTTCTCAACTAAAATCGATGTAGACCGACATTCGAAACTGTTCCAAGTTCTTCAATTCCAGCAAGAAATTAAGAGGAACTTGGAATTACGGTGCATAGTCCAGTAAGATTGTGAAGTCAGAGAGAAATGTAAAGTTCCGGCTGGCTTCCTATAATTTACATTTTACAGTTATATATGGTGTGGTTGAACCATTCAAAAGCCAGTTTGCACCCAATAATTCTTACCCAGTGCTAAATATATAAAGTCTAAAAAAAACACGGACAAGGAGAATCAACAACAAAAACCAAAAGTCAATGAGGGGGACTCACACACACATACACAACGCCAACTTCAAAGCAAAAGCAACAACTCCAAAACAAAGGCGGAACAGAATGGAATCGGAATATAATGGAAATAAATACAAAATAAAAAAAGAAAATAAAAATTTCGAGATGCACCGTCAAGACAGACCAATGCCGTCAGGCTTAAACAAACACAAACTTTCTATAAGTTCAGATTGAGATACAACGATCCGAAGGGATTTGGCAATTATTTTACTTGACTGGGTCAATGGACATGGTGGTCATGTTCCTTGCTCGAGAGGGTATGGCTCTATTAGAGCTTCTTCAGGACGGCTTTAAGATGTGGTTGAAGACTTGTAAGATTGGTTGCCATTTGAACCACATAGGAAAGTTCTCCATTTAAAAACTTGAAAACTCGACTTGTCTCTCTCACCTGCTCAAGAGAAAATGAGATGCCATTAATTCTCAGTGGTCCTTGCCATTTAGGCTGAAGTAATTTGGCCACATTGCAGAAAAGAATCAATAAGCAATGGATTAGGCTTTCATCTAACATGGTTTAAACATGTTTTAAAGTAGAAACAAGAAACAAGAAAGAGAATTGCAAAAGTGGAAATGATAAAATGGTCATATTTTGGCATTGCTCAGCCCTTCAGCTCAGTCTACTCCTCTGTAAACATGTCAGTTTCCTGTTTGTCATTGCATAGGCAGTTGCAATTCTTTTGTCAGATCAATCTTCCAATGAAAAAACTTCTAACCTATAATTCCAATAGCCAATTGAACTGATTCACATGGAAAACATCTTTATCAAGGGTTGATTGAATTCAATTTCATCCTCTATACACCTTAGGCACAATCCTCATAACCAATGACCATATGTCATGCCCCTCTATAGTTATCAATGATGGAGAACGTGGTTAAGAAAAACTGACTTAAAGCAGGCACAAGAATGTCTAAATTGCTAAGGTTAAACCATCAAAAAGGAAATATAAACAGTGAGAAATGTTACTGTTGGCAATATGAACGAAAAGAAGGAGAAGCTAATGAAAATTCTTAAATTGATACGTGATCCAAACTAATTCAGAAAACATGGAATATTGTGCCATGGCTTCCACCATAGTTAAATTAGTTTGGATCATCTATCTACTTAACCTTCTCCTCCTCAATTGTTCTTTGATAGCACAAGTGCCCTTCACATGTCTATTATCCCAGTTTCCATGCTTGGACAAAACATATAGAATTGGATTATCATTTTGTTCAGGAGAAGGTAGAACTTGGTAATCTTATCACTCATTTTGTACCTAGTTCTAATCAGGTTGCTGATATCCTAATCAAACTTCAACTGTGTCACCCATTCTGCTTTATTTGTACCAAGTTGGGAGTCTTGTTTGAAGCCTAACTCCCGCTTAAGGGGGAGTGTGAAAGCAATACAAGATGATAAGATTACAGCTAGAAATATTACCATAACACTGTTGCAATATGAACAAGGAGATGGATACAGCAAACAAGGAAAGATATTAAAATAAAAAGGGAAAGCAAATCAAGGAAAAAAGCAAAGGAATAGGAGTCAAGAACAGCTAATCAAGCAGAATCACAAAACAAGAAACAGTGATTCTCATTTTCAAAATTTTGTGCTTTCTCAGAGATGGTCAAAAGCAGAAGGCAAAAAGCATTAGGATGATAAAAGCTCGACAATTAGAATAAGTTGTTTAGTCAAAATCTATTTTATTTTCAGTCAGATGGCACTATTTATTTCTGATTCTCAGTACTCTAATTCAAAGCTGTCAAATGACATAATAATCATAATTCAAAAAAGGAGGATTCTATCAAGATGGGAGGAAACTTCCATTGGATGGAAGCTGTCCTTGACAGTTATTTGGTGGATAATCATTGTATATATCCATGTACAAAATCAAATTCATATGAAAATATCGAGGCAAACTTTTATACAATAGAAGGACCCTAAGCTGTCAAACCCCTTAATTAGCCATTAATCATGTAGCAAATCAGTCAGGCATTCAGGAATAGTACTTGCTACTTGCATGCAGTATCTCAATGTAGAACTCTAACCTTCATGGTTCCTTGAGAAACGAAACTAACAAAAGATTTTATAGTTTATGAAAATGTTACATTCTTGTATGTACAGGGAGGAATTCGAATTACCTTAGAAGCATTTCCCACAAGTTCACTCTGAAGCTTGATCTCGTTCTTCTCTGCATTATATGTCCCTTTCTGCATTGTTAAAGTGGCATTGTCTTTAATTCTCTACCAAAACCTTATTAGAATTATCAATAAAAGTTGCCTCAATGGCAAATACATAGCATCAAAAAAGTGTTTTACAGTGCAGTCCAACTTATAACAAAAATTATAATCTATGTTATTTAACAAATGATAATTTAGTAATTTCATTATCCAAACTATACTTTTAATGTACGGTCAGCCTGTAAAACATGAATCTCTTAGCAAATTCACCATGAATAGAAACATATTGAAGGAGTATTGTATGGATTTAGTGTAGTGCATACCAGAACTTCAGCAAGACCGGTGCTCTGAGCAATGACAACTTCGATGGTACCATCAGGCTTAGGCCGCCAGTAGCCGCTCTCCGCGTGCATGGGTTCCCCTGAATTGAGCTTCCAAGTCTTCTGAGTGTAGGCTATTACGGGCTACGTTGATAGTATTTGAGAAGTTAATAAAGCCTCAATTATGAAAGAAATATGCTGATTCTGGGAAGAAACAATTACCTTCCCGGAGTGAGAAAAGTGGAGCTCTTCGCCGTAGAGGAAAGAATTGATGGTGGGGTAACCGCCCTCCCCTTGACCTCTCCATGTGCCCAGCAAGTAGGAGAGCGGTGCGATTGCTGGGTGCAGCGCCGGTGGTTTGTTGGCGTCCATGGTCTCTTACGACTTCTCCTCTGCACTCTGCTTTGATCCCGTTTCTTTTACGATTTTATCTGCTCTGCGATTGTTGCCACGTGGCCGGCCACCATATTCCATTTGACGTTTTTGTAAATTTTTGTCAGAAAGTCGTTTTGAATCTTGATCGTGAAAGTGTATTTTAGGTGGACGGTTAAAATAAGCTTAAATGTTAATTTTGGTCCCTCAACTTTAAAGTTTTACATAATTTTCATTCCTAAATTTTTTTTAATTTTTTTTATTCTTTAATTATGAAAAGTGTAATTTTTTAGTCTTCTATCAATTAATCCGTTAAGTTTATCTAAATTTATATATTTTTAATCTCATAACTTTAAGTTGAGAGACGAAAATTGTACATATATGAGAAGTTGAAGGATTAAAAATGTGCAGATTTAGATAGACTTTACGGATAAATTGATGGGGGGACTAAAAAAATATATTTTTCATAGTTAAATGACTAAAAAAGTGTAAAAAAAGTTAAAGGATAAAAATTATGTAAAATCTTAGGTTGAGGGACCAAGATTAACATTTAATCTTAAAATAAATGTTGGAATGTTTGGAAAATTATTTAAATATTTTTAATTTTTAGTAAATTACTCATGCCCGTATATTTTTTTGGACTAATACAATTAGAGTATAAAAAATTAAATTATCAAAATTTAAACCTTAAAGTTGTGGTTATTGCACTACAAAAGTAATTGGCTTATGAGTGTGATTTAATGGATCTCTAGTGGCTAAGACTCTTGATTAAGTGGGGATTATTTCTTGTGAGTTATGTCTTCAATTTTCATAAATGACAGATGATGTTTTATAAAAGTATCTATATATATATATATATTGTATTTAGTTGACTTGAAAATTTATATCTCTTATTTGATATTTTTATTAAAAGTTTTTAAAAAATATTTTTAAAAAACTTTTGTTTAATAGTTAAATATTTTATATTAGTTTAATATATTTAAGAACCTTATTAATAATTTTTTTTGGGCCTCTAATAGTAAGTGTTTATCTTCAACTAAAAAGACTGATTTCAAATTATCATTTACTAGATTAGGCTTATAAAACATATGGTAAATTTTGTAACATTAGTGAGAGTATAAACTTTTTGGGTAAACCTTTAACATTCTTTTTTACGTGCATCTTGTTAAATTTTGAGTGACGAGGTGCTATAAGTTAAGTGCAAATTGTAATAAATAAATAAAATTTAAAAATAAAAAATTAAATCCATAATATTAAAAATTTTAATTTAACATTTGTAATAACATTAAAGTGATCTTTTCGAAATAAATTCCAACATTTGATGATAATTATAATCACAAATTAAACTAAAACAAACTAGCTATTATTTCTAAGTTACAGAGAATTAAACGGATTTCCATCCATATTAATTTTGGTTATGACCTTTTCCTCGATAGCTTTTATTTCTTTTTTCCAATTTGTAAATCTTTCTAGCTCTTAATTTCTCTCTTTTGTTACAACATTTTCTTCCCTACTACACCATTCCCAGAAGTTCTTTTTAGTTCGCGATGAATTCATTATCTCTTCATAAGAGGAGAGAAAGAAAGAATCGGAGTTAGCACTAACACACCATCTTTTGTTTCTTCCCATTTTTATGTACCCCTGGTTTGTGTGGTGTTCTCATTTCCATTGCATTTGATCTTTTTTTTGGTGATATCAATAATTGTTGACATGTTCTAATGAGGAAATGTATTAGAATTAATACGACATGCACCCTCACAAAGAAGCAAAATAGCTATGATTGTATGCCTATTTAAGATACTCAACTCATCTCCATATATCCTTTTTCAGCTAGGAATTGGATAAGAATTGATGGATTTTTGTGTTTTCTTGATTAGGGATTGATTCATTGTTCTCCTATTGATGTCTTTGAAAACTAATTTGAAGCTTGACTCCTCTGAGGTAACTTTCCATTTTCATTTGGAGGTGTCATGTATGTGTTGTTTGTTCTTTGGCAATTTAATTAAAGCTGATTGTATGAATTTATACTAATTAATCATTAATTGTATGGGACAGTTGAGCAAAGTTGCTCCGGAAGAAATACCACCAGACCACAAACATGGAGACCATCACCTAGCAAAACCTAAAGAAAATGTACCATCTAACCCGTCACGTTTTGATCCCAAAAAGATGGATCCTCTTACCAAGCCTGTTCCAAACACAAATGTCAATCAACGCCCTCCCCCAAGTCCAAAGATTCCACCTACTGCAGAATTCCAACATGCTTCTACAAATCATCTTGTCCATGCACAAGGGACTACCAATCACATCCGCAATGAGAGCTTGGAGACCTCCTCTGCTTCTGCTCCTCTTAAGCCCCACACTGGTGGTGATGTTAGATGGGATGCCATCAATATGGTTGGCTCCAAAGGTCTAATAGGTCTCAGCAACTTCCGCCTTCTCAAGCGCCTTGGTTATGGTGACATTGGAAGTGTCTATCTTGTTGAACTTAGAGGAACTAACACCTACTTTGCTATGAAAGTTATGGATAAGGCATCCCTGGAAAGTAGAAACAAGATATTAAGAGCACAGACTGAAAGAGAGATTCTTAGGCTTCTTGATCACCCATTTCTGCCCACTCTATATTCCTCCTTTGAGACCGATAAGTTCTATTGCTTGGTCATGGAGTTCTGTAGTGGAGGCAATCTTCATTCTCTCAGACAGAAGCAACCCAATAAGTATTTTACTGAGGAAGCTGCAAGGTTAGTACCTTTTCATCATATTGATTCATTATACATATAACTTGACATTGATGCATAGAAAATGAAGGGCTTAAGTCAGCTGCTTTAAGCAGGTTCTATGCAACAGAGGTGTTATTGGCATTAGAGTATCTGCACATGCTGGGAATTGTCTATAGGGACCTAAAACCAGAGAATGTGCTAGTAAGAGATGAGGGTCATATCATGCTCTCAGATTTTGATTTATCACTCCGTTGCTCTGTCAGTCCAACTCTTGTCAAGTCCTCATCAGCGCATCAACAAAGCAATGGCAGTGGTTACGCTGCAGGTGGCATTCTGGATGATGAGTTTGCAGTACATGGCTGTATTCAACCATCAACATTTTTCCCTAAAATTTTGCCTTCCAAGAAGAACCGCAAATCCAAATCAGATTGTGGACCCTCTGTAGGAGGCTCCATGCCAGAGTTAATGGCAGAGCCTACAAATGTGCGTTCTATGTCATTTGTTGGCACACATGAATACTTAGCCCCAGAAATCATACGCGGAGAGGGTCATGGCAGTGCAGTTGATTGGTGGACATTTGGCATCTTCCTCTATGAACTATTACACGGCACTACTCCATTCAAGGGTCAAGGAAACCGAGCTACACTCTATAATGTTGTAGGACAACCACTGAGATTTCCTGAAAGCCCCCAAGTGAGCTTTGTGGCTCGTGATCTCATCCGAGGCCTTCTGGTGAAAGAACCACAAAAAAGAATAGCTTACAAAAGAGGAGCAACAGAAGTAAAGCAACATCCTTTCTTTGAGGGAGTGAATTGGGCTCTAGTAAGAAGTGCCATGCCTCCTCACTTACCCGAACCTATAGACTTTTCACAATTTGCTAGCAAAGAGGCAGCTGCAGAGAAGAAAGCTCCAGACCTAGCAGTTGATAAAAACAGTAGTAATCCTAATGATTCTTATATAGAATTTGAGTACTTTTAGTAACAAAACTGAATATGATCAAAAGAACAATTGAAAGATTGAGTTGTTACAAGGCATAACTGTTAATCGTGTAACGAAAAATCTTCAAACCTTTTCTGCATGAAGAAGGGATAATTGTGTTGTACATTTAGGGATGGAAATTTTGTTTCTTTACATGTATATGCTAATTAATGTTTAAAGTGTTGGCTGTAATACAGACAGGCACAAGGCCTTCTATTCTACTCCCTCTCTGTTTCATCCTGGAAAACATTAAGATCATAAAAATTCATTTGGTTTTATAGCACATCTTAGAATCATTAAAGATAATTAGACCCTTTATTATTAAATGTTCTCTGTCTTTGTCAATATCTGTTAAAGTAATAAAATGTGTAACATGCACAAGGCAGACGGCCTGTTTACTAAAATTGTGTAATCACGTGTTTAACTTTAAGAACTGAAAGAAAAAGAATATGCTATAAAAGCATCCTCTACTTTTGGAAAAATAAAATAAGTAACTTTATTTTGTCTGTAAGCAAGGTGGTGCGGAGATCCCGTTGCGGCCTTCTTCATCTTCACCATAATTAGGAGAAAGCAAAACAAAGAAGCAGAAGGAGATATGGCGTTTGAGAAGATAAGGGTGATCAGTCCCATCGTCGAAATGGATGGTTAGCTCCCTATCCCATCTGTGTCTCTTCTTTTTCTGATGATCAATTTCATTTGGTTGAAACCCAGTTACGCTCGACTGTTTCTGAGAATCGTTGAATTATCATCTGAAATGGTTTCAGTAATCTAGCGGAATAGAATTTCATGTGGTTGAAACCCAGCAACGCTGGACTATGTGTTGCTGGGTCCTTAGAACTATGATTGTAAAACCCACTTGGCTATGTGGGTTTCTTCCATCCAATTGAAATGAGATGCCTTTTGATCAAATTAGGATTCCAGTTTTAGTTCTTCACTCCGTTGACTTTATTTCCAACACAAGTCCTGATTTTTGGTCAAATGCCATTCATGAGACCGGTATGCAATATGATATTGCTATGTTTTTACTTACATATTTCATGGGTAAATTTCTTTTTCTTTTTCTTTTTTTTTTATTGAAGTAAATTTCATTTTCTGGAGACTTCAAATATGATTCTAAGCTGAGATTTGTTTAAGATTGTAGATGACTGAAGCATGATCAAGGTACTTAAAAAACTATTTTACAAGTTTAATTTCTGCTTAGGTTCTGCTACTTCCCTAGTGCTCTTTTAATGGAAGAGATACAACACCCTTTTAAAGAATATTGCATTTTTAAGCTAATAAAAGCGCTGAATTTGTGAGCAAAAAGGTTGGAGTTTTAGCTTGATCTCTTTTCCACCTCCTGATTGTCAAGGAACGGAGTTCGGGTGTTCGTGTTTCTGAGTTTCATAAACTGTGCAAACCTTCTGTCCTGCTATGAGTGTGCTCAACCCTTCAAGGTCAAAGTTTTGAGATTTTGCGGATGATGATGGGTTATGCCTTAGTTTTTCAGTGATTGCTGGATTAACATAATAATCTCATCTCAAACCTTGTTTGGATACTTGTTTTTTTGTCTTGCCTACTTTTCTGCAGATTGCTAATCAAAGAGTCATCAAGTTTATTAAATATCTCTGTTTCTTTCCTCTTAAAAATTTCATGCTATATTTTGAAATACAGGAGATGAAATGACTCGGGTTATTTGGAAATCTATAAAGGATAAGGTATTTCTTTCTTGGCATCTTAATGATGGCAGTTGGCTTTTTTTTTTTTTTTTTTTTCTTGATATTGATGATGAAATGTAAAATATATGATTACATGTGAAACCTTTTTTTGATGTTCCTACAGCTTATACTCCCCTTCTTGGAGTTGGATATTAAGTATTTTGATCTTGGCCTTCCAAATCGTGATGCCACTGATGACAGAGTTACTGTAGAAAGTGCTGAAGCTACTCTTAAGTATGTGTCACATTTAATTTAGTAGGTTCTTTCTTTTTCCAAGAAATTCTAAGGAGAGTTTTTCATCTACATTATTTTGATTGTTGAAGTACATAAATCTATATAATATTGAGGACATTTCTTTTCTATGTTGGTTGATGTTCCTGATTGATGTTTGCTATATGCTTGTATTTTGGCTCTCCTCATGGAACAAGAGGGGAAGCTTAGAAAAGCAATCTCTTTGCCTCCAATTATATATATATATATATATAGATATTTTACATGAATTCTGTGTCAACTGGTAAGCATTGCCATTTAAAATGAAGAAATCAATGCTAACCTAACTTGGGGCATATCTATGTTCTTTTATATCTGTTAAATTCCATTTATTTTTGTTTTAAAAATCAGTGGTTCTTCATCATAATTAATCAGGAGGCACTTTACAAGATTGCTATTGTTTACAAACCTTACTTTATCTTCTTGTCTTTTATTCTCATTGTATAATTTACATTTTTTTGTAGGTATAATGTAGCCATTAAGTGTGCAACTATAACTCCAGGTATAGATTCCTTGACTGGAATTCTTGCTTTTACATTGTTTTCTTGAACTGGTAAATTATTTGTGTTTCTAGCTAGTTACTTTCCCATTCATGTCAAACATCAAGAAAAGTAATCATATGTAGTCTTTGATCATAGATGAAGCTCGTGTTAAGGAATTCAACTTGAAAAGAATGTGGAAGAGCCCCAATGGGACGATTCGAAACATTTTGAATGGTAACCACCTTGTGTGAATGCTTTTTTCTCTATATCTTTTTGAATTAGTCACTAAACCTTTGTGCTTTCTGTGACTTCAGGCACAGTTTTCAGAGAACCAATTATCTGCAGAAACATCCCCCGACTTGTCCCAAGTTTGTAGTTCCTTCTTCTTCTTGATATTTTTATGCTATTATTTGGGAAAAATTACTATTTATTGCAGCTCAATGTTGATAATGTTAATTTTTGTCAGGTGGAAAAGTTATTGCAATTGAATCATTAATTTAGTAGTGCATTGAGTACGTTGAAATCCTTATTATTTATTCTGAAATATGGCCTACAAGAACTGCATTCTTTTCAGGTTGGACGAGGCCAATATGCATCGGAAGGCATGCTTTTGGTGATCAGTACCGAGCAACTGATTTAGTTATAAAGGGATCTGGGAAACTGAAACTGGTGTTTGGTAAAATTTTTTTTTCAGTAAGGAGTAGAGGGCTTGACTTAATGCATGTTGGTTCATCATTTATGGAAAGCAACATCAAAAACCAAACTTATTTTTCTTCATTTTTTAGTTGTCTTATACGTGCAATCACAATGTTTGCAGAACCTGACACAAATGGGGAGAAGAAAGAATTTGAGGTTTTCAACTTTACTGGGGCTGGAGGCGTTGCTTTGTCCATGTACAATACTGACGAGGTACCAATACTATTGTGTATGTAGATGGGCATTTTTTCTTGCACTTTTTGTTGAGTGACCAATTGAATAAATTGCTAGAAGCCATTAACTGTTATACTGAATTGGAAAACAGTCGATTCGTGCTTTTGCTGAGGCTTCAATGAACACTGCTTACCAGAAAAGGTGGCCACTTTATCTGAGTACAAAAAATACAATTCTGAAAAAGTATGACGGAAGGTATGCATTATCTTATTATGCCTCCCTTCCTCAGACCCTCCCTCCTTTTTGTTTTTTTGACAAAACACACGCGCACTTTTAAGCTCTGATTTCATGTTGAAACCATCTCATCCTTCACGGTATTCGGCAATATTTTCTGAGGTTTTACCTTTTTGTAGATTCAAGGACATATTCCAGGAGGTTTATGATACTCAATGGAAATCCAAGTTTCAGGCTGAAGGTATATGGTGAGAACTGAGATTCATCACAGCATGGATGTATTTATTGGTCTGTGAAGTTGGAGTAATAAACCATAGCTTATGCCTTGAACTGCAGGTATGAGCACCGTCTTATTGATGATATGGTTGCTTATGCTCTAAAAAGTGAAGGAGGTTATGTGTGGGCATGTAAAAATTATGACGGAGATGTGCAGAGTGATTTCTTAGCCCAAGGTTTGTAGATTATCTCCAGATAACGATTTCTAAATTATTTACCTTTTTTTTTGTACCATTACTCTTTGCTTTTGTGGAAGTGGACTTCTGACCAAGTTACTGTTTGATTTGTTATGTACATTTTCATGAATGTTTGTATGCATTGGTACAGGATTTGGCTCTCTTGGACTGATGACATCTATACTGGTAGATCTTTCTCTCTATCTCTCTCTCAACATGCACATATGTATTTGGAGTGTAAGGGAAGGGTTTATTTTCAGGTCTGCCCAGATGGGAAGACAATTGAAGCTGAAGCAGCTCATGGGACAGTTACTCGCCATTATCGGGTTCATCAGAAAGGTGGTGAAACTAGTACTAATAGCATAGCATCAATCTTTGCTTGGTCACGAGGCCTCGCACACAGGTATTTATCATGGCTTAATCTTTCAATCAGCTTCTTATACCATTCATGCTATGGCATTTTGAATATCTATAAACTTGAGTATGGTAATATTTCTAGAGCAAAGTTGGACGCAAATGCCAGGCTGTTAGACTTTACCGAGAAACTAGAAGCAGCCTGTATCGGAACAGTTGAATCAGGAAAGATGACTAAAGATCTTGCTCTCCTTATTTATGGGCCAAAGTAAGTAGCAGCAAGATCCAAAGAGCAATTTCAGTTAAAATATATATTTTTTTCTTTACTTCTGAGATTATAATGAAACTACTTTCACTTGTGCCTAGGGTTGGTAGAAGTCAGTATTTGAACACACAAGAGTTTATTGATGCCGTAGCGGAGGAGCTGAGAGCAAGATTGTCTATGAAAGCGAAGTTGTAGACTGTCGGATTCATACTTGAAAATAATAAGTCGATAATAAAATAAAATGGTGAATCGATATGGAGAATGTAGAATAAACTGAATAGACAATCAACCTGAAAATGTTGTGGGTGATAAAATAAGAGAATGCACCACATTGGGTTTTTTTTTTTTTTTTTTTTTTTTTTTTTTGGGTAATTAATTCTATTCGTCTTTGGATGCTTCTTACCATTCATTCTTGATGGGGTTTTGCACTCGTGCCACCGCAATGAAATTACTCCCAACCATGCAACTGAATTGAAAGACAGTTGGAAAAGTAGCTACCAGGAATGAGCTATGCAGTGGACAAGCAATTGTTCTGAACATTACATTATATGCCACTGAACAAGCATTATTTTACACGATGCAATTCAAATAAGATAATTCAGGGAAATACCTTTCAAACCAAAATATTTTATTCAAATTCATTAGCAAAAATTACATATAGAAAAAAAAATGAAATCTTAATTATTATTCATTAAACTATGAAAATATACAAAAAGAGTAGAATGACTTATATTTTAGATGATAACACTAGGGGAAAAGAACATAAAAGTAAAGAATAACATTAATAAAATTAGAATTCAGTGATTGAATTGAATTCATCAACCCAGGAAGACCAAGCTCTCCACGTATGGACTCCAGGCTAGGTTGCAACTGCCTGCAGCAGACATCTTGGGAGTAAGTAGGTTTTAACTTTGAAATCAAAAGAAGCACTGACGTGAATAGATCTTTGTTGCACAAGCAAAGCTTATCAACAGACTTGAACCAGACTGAGTCTCTCAAGAGAGTGTAGCCCCGGTTATTTCCTTCAAATGAGGTCAATAACCCCACACAACTAATGAAAAGGACAGGGAAAATGTTACAGAAATTCACTTATATTTATATCTTCTCCTACAGAGTATGCAATATTGGTAGTTTTGGACCCATAGGCAGTGATCTTGCAATTTTCTCTGATCCATATAAAAAATAATAAAAACTAAAAAATATAAAAAATATATTTTAATTAATATTTTATATATTTTTAAAATAATAAAAAATATATAAAAACTAAAAAATAAAATACCGATAAGTATTGTTAAATGAAACCAAGTAGATTTCACATTGTTAAAACGAGGTTGCCTTGTATATTTTTGTACATACCCTTCAGGGGTCAGAAACCTCTAGTAACATTTATTCTTCCTTCTTTTTTTTTTTTTTTCAAACGGAACAATTCTTATAGGGCAAAAATAGAAAATTGGAGAA